TCCTCTCCACCTATCATCTCCTCTATCCCTCTTCTATCCGCCTCCCATTCTCTCCCTATTTATTTCAAAACCCCCTTCCCCTCCCCCTTTTCTGATGAAGGGTCTAGGCCCGAAACGTCAGCCTCTCTGCTCCTATGATGCTGCTTGGCCTGCTGTGTTCTTCCAGCCCTGCACCTTGTTGTTAAGGAGTTATTATGTTGGAAGGCAAGTACAGTGTTAAATAAATAAACCAGAATATATTGTTGTACTACTCGTGTTAGCTTTGAATAGTAATCTGGTAGCGCTGAATCAAGTTCCATTCCAGCACGTGAGACACAACAAAGGCTGACATATCAGTGCAATGTGTAGGCATTTAACTTTTAAAAAAATGTTACTTGTAGACGAGGAGGAACAGAAATGTTACACTGTTCCTACCAATCACAGGTTTTCCCCGATTCACTCCTCAATGTTGTGAGGGGTCATTTATGTGCATCATTGGCCTGACTTGCAGCACCCACACCAGCAGTGATGTCATTGATTCCTGCCTAAAGCAGATGGTAATGTCAGGAGTTAAAATCTCCTGGGGGGTCTCTTCCTCTGAAGTCAGATGGTTTGCCACTCCCTTGTTCAATTTAAAAAAAAATTATTTTGAGATCATAAAAATAATCTAGAATCATTTTATTATTTTCAGGTACCTTTGGAGAAATATAATGGCACGCTGGTGTACAGTCCTGCACACAGAAACTCCGGATCTTTGCGATATGCCATTGATAATGTTGGATTTGAAGCCAGCCTGAGTGAACTATTTCCTCTACCAGTTGACATCAGCACTGCACATACCAGCACTGCCCATATCAAGATTGTGGGCATGACTTGCCAATCATGTGTACAGTCAATCGAGGGCCAGATTTCCAAAGAGAAAGGTGTTGTTAGCATGAAAGTATCTCTCAAACAGAATAATGCAATGGTAAAGTATATACCGACAATAATCAGCTCTCAGCAGATATGTGAGGCAATTGACGACATGGGCTTTGAAGCATCTCTCACTAATCAAAATGGATCTTTGCTTGAGAGGAAAATTCCCTTGCCGATTGAAGTTATGATGAAGATGAAAGTGGAAGGCATGACATGTTATTCATGCGTTAGCAAAATTGAAGGCAAAATCAACAAATTGCTAGGTGTAAACCGAATTAAGGTCTCCCTTGGCAAACAAGAAGCTGTTATTGTGTACCAGCCACATGTGATTCAACCAGAAGAGCTTAGAAGACAAATTAATAACTTGGGTTTTCAAGCCAGGATCAAGACCAGACCAGCTTCTCTGAAACTTGATATGATCAAATCTATTGATTCACAGGATAAAAAAAGTAAAAACTTGATATCCAATGACCGACTGTCAAGTGCTATCTGCAACCTTGCGACTGTAGTTCTTCAGGTAGAGGGAATGCATTGTAAGTCTTGTGTTGCGAATATTGAAGGAAATATCAGAGAACTCCCAGGCGTACAGAGCATCAAGGTGTCTTTAGAGAGAAAAAACGCTATTGTGACGTATGATTCAATCTTGACTGATCCAGCATCATTAAAATTAGAGATTGAAGCTCTCCCACCAGGAAACTTTAAAGTTTATCTTCCAACTGAATTGGAAATGGAAAATGAGACTTTATCAATTCCAGCTACACGCTTACTACATCAACCAAGCTGTGATACTGAAAAGCTCTTCCAAATCCCAAACAGTTTTGCAGTAATTAATATTGGAGGAATGACATGCCATTCTTGTGTACAATCTATTGAGGAGACAATCTCTGAAAGGAATGGTGTAAAATTCATCAAAGTATCATTAGCGAAAAAGAAGGGGACAATCCACTTTGATCCAACACTAACAAATCCTGAGGACTTGAGAGCTGCCATAGAGGAGATGGGGTTTGTTGCCTCTGTATCTGGTAGGAGAATAACACTTTTTTTTTGTTTTCTTTCTCAACACTTGGAACAACCTTCTCTTTGAATGCTAGACATGTATTTAGAAGAAGGGCATAATTTGGTCCATTGTGATTGTGCTGACTGAGAAAAAAAAGCTATCTAGTCTATTACCATCTTTCGGTCCTTTTCGTCATTGTCCTGTAGTTTACAGCATCTTGAGTGCATATCAAGCTGCTTTATTCTAACTGTGATGAGGGTTTATATCTCTACCACCCTTTCTGACAGTGAATTACAGAGTCCCACCATCCTCTGAGTAAAAATAATATTCAATTTCCCTCTAGCCTTGCTACCAGTTACCTTAGATCTGTGCTCCTTGGCTACTGATCTCTGCTAACAGAAACAGGTGATTCTTATCCAATCTGCAGTGAAAATAAATTCTGTCCCTCAGAATCTTTTCCTGATGTAGACTCACTGGCCTGTAGTTCCCTGGTTCATCTCTACTATGCTTTTTGAATAATGGCACAGATTAGCTGTCTCCCAATTCTGTGGCACCTTTCCTGTGTCTAGAATGGATTTGAAAATTAATGTCAAGGCCCCTGCAGTCTCATCCCTTGCCTTCCATAGCAGTGTAGGATACATCATGTAAGATTGGGGATTTATCCAAGTTTAAGGCAGCTAAAACCAGTCCAATCTTCTCCCTCAAATGATCATTTGTTCAAGTTTATCACAGGATGCCCCATCCCCTCTACAATTTCTATACCTACATTGTATCTATACTAACCATGAGAAGAACAAAGCAATTGTTTAATACCTCACCTACATCTTCTGGGTCCACATATGTTGCTACTTTGGTCTCTAAGGGGCCCTACTCTTTCCCTGGTTACTGTCTTACCTCTAATACATTTATTAAATGTCTTGTGTCTTCTCATGTCCCCTTCACTCTCCTAATTTATTATTATGTGGCCTCGGGACATTCTTCTTTCCTGAGGCTTCCACCAAAAGTTTCCCTTTTTTCCCTCATGTATTACCATACGTTCCTTGACATTTAGGGGAAGGGTCCAGACCCAAAACGTCAGCTTTCCCACTCCTCTGATGCTTCTTGGCCTGCTGTGTTCATCCAGCTCTACAACTAGTTATCTAGGCTTCCCTGGGCTTGTTTTCTCCTCCTTTTCACTGCTACAGGAACATGTTGGCCCTGCACTCTCTATTTCCCTTTTAAATAACTCCCACTCCTCTTATGTTGCTCCCTGTCCATTTTGGCCAGATCCTGATTTCTCTTATTAGAATTAGCTTTCACCCAATTCAGAAGCTTTATTTCTGGTTGGACCAGAAGATGTAGGTGAGGTATTAAACAATTGCTTTGTTCTTCTCTATGGTTAATATAGATACAATGTAGGTATAGAAATTGCAGAGGAGGTGGGGCATCCTGTGATAAACTTGAACAAATGATCATTTGAGAGAGAAGGTTGGACTGATTTTAGCTGCCTTAAACTTGGATAAATCCCCAATCTTACATGATGTATCCTATAGTGCTATGGAAGGCAAGGGATGAGACTGCAGGGGCCTTGACATTATGCTTTTCCATAACAACCATAATTCTTACCAAATTATTGTCACTTTCATCAAAATACTCACCACTGACACTTCTACTTATTACCCTATTATTTTTACACTTCTGAAAGTTGACAACATATCTATCCTTCTGTACAAGACCATAAGATACAGGAGTAGAATGAGGCCTTTTGATCTGTGTCTGCTCCTCCATTTGAAAATAGCTGATATGTCTCTGACTTAGGGGGCTTTAGTACTTTTTTTTAGGTTCTCAGTGATACGGTCTCATTTCAGGAGTCTTTTAAGATATCATTCTTATTGCAGTGATTTAAGTTATAGAGTCATACAGTACAGAAACAGACTCTTCAGTCCAACTTGTCCATGTCGATAAGTTTCCCAAACTAAATAGTCCCATTTGCCTGCATTTGGCCCATACCCCTCTAAACCTTTCTTATTCATGTACTTATCCAAATAATCTTTTAAATGTTGTAACTGTACCCATATCTACCACTTCCTCTGGCAGTTCATTCCACATGCAAACCACTCCCTGTGTGAAAAAGTTGCCCCTCAGGTCCCTTCTAAATTTTAAAATCTCTTCTTAAAATATGCCCTCTAGTTTTGAACTCCCCTACCCTAGGGAAAGCGCCTTTGCTATTCACCTTATCTACACCTCTCATGATTTTATAAACCTCTATAAGGTCACCCCTCACCCTCCCACTCTCCAGGGAAAAAAAAAAGTCCCAGCCTCTCTTTATAACTCAAACCCTCCAGTCTCAGTAACATCCTTGCAAATCTTTCCTGCATCCTTTCCATATGGCAAATTTATGCCACTATGTCTAGCTCTGTCCATGATAGTAATAATATCTGTTAATCAGCACTCTCAACTCATCTGTCTTTCTTGCAAGATTTCTTGCATTAAAATAAATGTCATCAGTCTTGCTATTCTCCCTTGTGCCTTAAATTGACTGGACATGCTCTGGCTTTCACATGGATTTGGTTTTTCTTCTACATTTGTCTGTGCATCAGCCCCTACCTCAGTCCATTCCATATTCCAGTCTCTTGCCAAATTAGTTTAATCTCCCACTAATAGCACCAGCAAACCCCTGCTGGTCTCCTTCCAATTAAGGTGTAACCTGGCTTGGCCAGGTCCCACCTTTCCTAGAAATAGAACCAGTGATCCAGGAATCTAGAGCCCTCCCCCAACAAGTCTTCAACCATTTGCTCTGTCTGCCTTTTTCTATATTTGCTAGCATGACACCAGGAATAATTCAGAGATTATATTTGAGATTTGAATTCTGCTTCACAATCTGCTACCTAGCTCCCTAATTTTTGTTGCAGTACACTACCCCTTTTGTACCAATATGAAGGTCAACCTCTGACTGTTTGCCCACCCCTTCAGAATACTCTGTAGCCTTTCAGTGACATCCTTGACGTAGGCCCCAGGGAGTCAACTTACCATCCTACAGTCATGACTGCAGCTACAGAAATGCCTTTCTGTACACCTCATTATTGAGTCTCCCACCACTATTGCTCTTTGCCTTTCACCTCTCCTTGTGCATCCAGACTCTGGCTACAATCCCCAGAGGAACATCACCCTGCTCTTGGGAGTTTTCGGATTATACGCCTACCTCCCTTCTTCTGACTGGTGGTCACCTATTCCTTCTCCAACTTCACCTCCTTAAGCTACAGGGCATCTGTAAGTTTAAGTGTGCTACAAAATAGCTAAACAAAAAACTGCAGATGCTGGAAATCAGAAACAAAATCAGGACTAACGAGCAACGATTTATCTTAATACAAACCGAAAGAACTGTGGATGCTATAAATCAGGAATTGCTGGAAAAATTTCTGTAGGATCACTGAACCTGAAACGTTAACTCTGCTTTCTTTCCACTGACGTTGCCTGACCGCAATTTCTGATTTACATCATCCACAGTTCTTTCAGTTTGTATTAAGATCAATCGTTGCTCGTTAGTCCTTCCAAAAGGCGGGATTTTAATTAGCATCGCCCACCTTAGATTCGGCGCAGGCGCATCCATGCTTGTTGCAGAGCGCTTGCGCAAATACCTGCATTTTTTTTTCACGTGGGTGGGGTTAATTGGCTGTGTTGGGCGGGGTGGAAGGACAGGTTGCCGCGCATGTGCAGAAACGTTTACTCGGAAAACGTCACCTTGTGCCAGTAAGACGACGACGCGTGCCAGGTGTAGGCACGTGGCGCTGTGCCGCGCGCGCTGATCACAACTGTTCTTCGAGCGGTCGAGAAACTTCCGGAGACTGGGCCTGACCGCATAGCGTAGGGAAAAGGAGCCGAGGAGAAGGGACCGGGCAATTCGGGTTCGTACACACTTAGCGGAGGGGACGGTGCGGGGAGAGGGACACGGACCGAGGTTAACAGAGGGAGAAGCACTGACCCCCTTTGCCCCTACCCCCGGCCCCCTTCCCCCCCTCTTTTCCCCCCCCCTTCCCCCCCCCTTCTCCCCTCTCTTCCTCCCCTCTCCCACTCAATGCCACTCTCCACCAACCACCTCACTCATAGGTCCCATTCGTCCATCCCCGCCCCCCCATTCATAATTGCCCCAAACACTTAGTGTTCCCTAATTACTAATCCCCACTCACTGAACCCCCTTGCCCAACATAAATACGGTAATAATACGAACCAGGTAGAGACACACAGGAATTTGCCCACCTTTTGCGAGGCACAAGTCAGACGTGTGATGAAACTTGCCTGAATGAACGAAGCTCCAACAACATTTAAGAAGCTCTCAAGCATCTTTCCTAGGCTCTCATTCCTTTCCACTGATACTTGCTCAGTCATAACTGCTCACAGTTTGCATCTTTGCTGGTTTACAGCATCTCATCATTTCATAGCACCGTCACTCTACATACAAATTTATGGTCACAACCATTGCTTCCCTCACAGACCTACTTAGTTCCTTTCCTAGCTCTATGTTGTAGTCATCTCTGGGAAGGGGTGACATAACTGAACTTTCTAAGACCTCAAAGCTGAAATGGGTGTGGGGGAGATACTGAATCTTTCAAGAGTAAGCCAGTTGCTTAAAGTGAAATTAATGTCAAGAATCCTAGATTCTCTGTAAAGTCTTAAATCAGGCATTGGGTCTTCTTGGTAACTATTCCTAATAAATTTCCTAACTTCAGTTGAATTTTGTGTTGGATTTGTTTCACAGATCCTAGGGCCAGAGGTCATTGCTTTCCAAATCTTGTCTTGTTGCACCCAAATGGGTGTATACGGACATGACTACTGCTGAATAAGGACACATTTTGTTGAAGCTTTGTAGCTTGCATTCAGGACAATGTGCAAGATTTAAGGGAAGCCAATGTTTATATTTCACGAGAACAGAGTTGGCAGCTGTACTTTGGTTGGTAGAGGCATTGCCATGGAGAAGGCATCAATTGCTGATTATTGACAGTTAACCTCTAGACTTTGTTTAAATTTTAAACCAAGCAGGTTGAATTTGATCAGTCAAGACATTCTTGTGAA